TAATTTTTTAATAATTAAGATTCATCATAAACTTTTTATAAATAAAATTTATTCTAATTTTTTAATAATCAAGATTCCTCATAAACTTTTTATAAATATAATCTACAAAAATTTATTGTGCTTCAATACGAGTGTAAAAGTTTTAAAAAGCAGGGTATATAGCTCATAAAAATTCTTGGGTGTATTGATAAAAATATATTTGTTAATTCCAGCTCTAACCGATTTTGTCTTTTTTCCAAAGGAGTCAATACCGTACTGACATGTATATTGGTTTTGTTACTGGAATGATACGTACCGAATACCAAAATTTTTTATGTATCGTTTCGGATTTATAACTATAAATATATTTTTATAAAAAAAATTAATGTAATTAAGGATAAAATTTAAAAAAACCTTTTGGGTTAGTAACAATTCTTTTTTTTTTCAACCATTAACCTAAACCCATTATAACCAAGTAAAGATACTTTAGATGACTTAAGTTAAAGACATTAAAATAATGACAATCATTAAATAGATAATAATAAATTACATTCAATTTATAAAAGTAAAAAAGATTGACTCTTTTTTTTCAATTTATGCAGGGTTAACCTATTAAGTCAAGAAGAAGCCACCAAAGTCCTTTTCTCTGTTTTTCTCTCCTGCCCTCCGCAGCCCCGTTACTAACCTTGTGCATTAGTGACCCACGGTTTTGATCGGAAGCCCTTGGGCTTCCACGTTTTGCTGCTTGAGTCGCTGGGCCTCCTGGCCGCTCAAGCACACTGGAGCCGACCATGTGCTTCGAGCACCGATGGCCTCCGTGGCCTGTCGGTTCTGTAGTCCCTTTGGTGGCTTTGTTTTTTGGTTTGTTTGTTTATATGTTGGTTTGCTTTATTTGTTTGCTGTTTCTTGTTTTGTTCGGTGCAGATCTGGCGGCCTTCTTTCTCCTCCGGGGGATTTGTGGCGGCGCACGCGAGCGCTGCCAGATCTGACGTCCACTGCGGCTCTCTTGCTGGTTCCGAGGGACTGCCGCCGCTTGATCGGATTACCGGCTCGGCATCCTGTCACCACCCCTAGCCAAAATGACATTGTTTTGGCTGGGGATTCTTTTTTTTTTTTTTTTCCCTTCTTGCATAATGTACCGGTCAAATTCCGGTGTACCGGTTAGTAGCTGAAATTTTGGCCGGTACACCGAAATTTGATCGGTACACTTGAAATTTGACCGAAACAAAATCTTAACTTATTTCGTTTCAGTTAACATCTAAAACCGGTACGTATCGACCGTACTAACCGATACGATACGGTACAAACTACTTTGCTTTTTTCTCAACCTAAATTGAATCATGCTTGAAAAGTGAAAAGAAAAATCTAATGAAGAAAATGTTAATTGTTTGCTTTGCCTAACTAAAGCATTTTTTACCCGGACAAAAATCCTTAGCGAATAAGTAATTTGTAAATTTCATTATAAATGTCCATTAGAATTGGTAAGGCTTAGAAATTAGGTAACCTCAATTCACCTAAATAACTTTCCATTAAAAAAAAAAATCTAAGGCTTTTTTATAAGAATAGAGATATGTTTATAATCAAGTTTTATATATTATATTTATATAAAATTTTAATAATTTATCTCTTTACTTTTAAGAATTAAAATTTATTTATATTTATTAAAGATAATTATTTTTTATTTAAAAAATCGTGATAAAACTTAATTATTAAAAGTAAAAAAATAAATAGTTAAGTATAACATGTATAAAATTTATGTGTAAATAAATCTATCTCTTATTATAAATGTTGTTCAAAACTAACTAAAACTTTATCATTAGGGGTCATTGGGTTGAGAGGAAAGCTTTCTCCATATTTTCTTCTTATTTGGATTTTGTATGGTTATTTATATATTTATATAACTTAATTAATATTTATAACAAAAGAATGGTAAAACAACAATTATATATAGAACTTACAATCTAGATTACATTACTCCTCAAGGAAAAGAACCCTCAATTATGAAATCTTATAGAATTCTTATAATTCTAAAAAGGAAAAATGCAACCACAACATGGAGTAGTTAAACGGGGATTTGAAGCTTCTTTGAACTTTTCAAGTTTGTCCATTCAATCTCTTTCAATTTCAAGAAATTTAGCTTCAATTTGTATTTCTATAAATAAAGCATATATTGTTAAAAGGTTGCACATGAAGAACATTATGTGTAAAAATCAAAATAGTAGTTAGTTGAGAAAAAAGTGACAAAAATTAAGAAATTACCTCCATTAAAAAAAAAAATTGAATGGAAAACAGAGGAAATTGGTATAAGTAAGGACTAAAATTCCTTCAGACCATCAAAAAATTAAATTCCACATAAAAATTGTATTTTGTTGTGGTAGAAAATAAATTCTGCACAAAAATAAAATCCAGCACAATCAAATTTCATGTAGAATGAAAATAACTTGATTAAAAACTTAATCTTTTCATGTTCATCATATCTTAAACAAGATTTTAATCACTTAAAAAATCAATAAACTTAAGTGAAAAATAGTTACCTATGCAATGACGAACTAGTTGATGAAGTGAAGGAAGTGAAGGAGAAGAATCGGTATACGACAATTGCTAGGGAATGTGGGAAGAGAGGGAGTAAAAGGTTTAGAAGGAAGGGAAGAACCGATATAGGATTGTATACTAAACTCTTCTTATTTTATTTTATTTTTAAAAAACCTAAGTTAGTGAACAACATTGTAAGTCATATAGTTTGAGCCTTTTTTCTTGACCCATAAGTTTCAACTCAAATATCATTACAAGTCAAAATTACTGTCATTTGTTTTGGTTTAAACACATTTTTTGGTTTTTTAACTCTAATTTTATATTAAAATGATATACTAACTCTTTTGGTTATTATATAAGTTAGATTCAACTATATATAATTAAACTATGCAACGATTAAAAGTAAAGAAGAGAACACCAATTTTTTAATGTGGTAAAACCCCAAAGAGGGGAAACATTCACGGCCATTCAATGGCAAAATGAAAATTCACTATGTTAAAACAAACATTACAAGGCCATAAAAAAAAAAAA